GGGCACTATTTCTTGTCTTAATGAAGCGGAGGGGAAAGAAGAAAAAAAAAAAAATACGCTATGCATTATATACCTTAAAACAACCATTTGGCAAATGCGAGGTGAGTGAAGGATATGTACACGTCCTTTACCCATGTGGTGCAAGCAAAATGGGGCTTTGTGTATCCGTCCTCAATTTCGCATTCCACTGGGCATGCGCAGAGATAAGTACATGCGCTCTAGTACCTATGCATATACATGGACATATCATACACACATGCACGCAAGTACCCAATGACTGGATAAAATGTTACGAATTCAAAAACGAAGTGTGGCTGCCCTTTTGCACCATTTGGACAATCCCTAGTGCCCGGTACTCGTTTCACTAAAGCATGCGCCACGCGCATTTGGGTAGATGTGACTGCAAAGGTACATGCACACACGTTGGAAATGTTTTTCCACGTTGAGGGTGCTGTTCCACGCGGCTACGAATTTTTAATTAACAGCAAATGGTGGTGGTGGTGGGGAGCAAACATAGCACAACGAAGCTGGTAATGGAATGCAAAGTGCGAGGCAGCACCGTGTGTATGTATAACTGCAAGCTGGATCCTAATTCACAGACCAACAAAGGTAATTGTTCACGCAAAAGGGGAGAAGTCAGAAAGATGCGAAACGCGCCTATACTGGGATATGCGAACACGGAGGGTATTCCCACGCACGTACATGCCTACATGAATGCATGTACGTACACACAAAAGGGGGCAAAAAAAAAAAAAAAAAGTGATGGAAAAAATAGAAGTAAAAGGAGGCCCTTTCATCTAGCCGAAGTGTATGAACAAAACTCAATTTTTAATCTCCAACAGAACTTAAAACGTGTTGCGATTGGCAGGTGCAAAATAAAGCAAAGCTAAGGGGGCGCACGAGGTCGTACTGCGCAGGGGCATATGCGCGTATGTGTACAGCGTTTTCATCCCAATTCGCCGCGCGATCACGCGGATGAGAAAGGGGACTCGCGCGGGAATGAATGGCGGAGAGAGAGCGGGGCGTGTACATACCTGTCTATACACACAGGCACGTACATATATAGATGCATACGTACGCACGCTTGTGCTCCCATTCATTGATGCCAGCCTCTTATCCATACACACATGTGAAGGCAGTAGGCGGCACAGCAGTTAGCCCATTCAACGTAAAATATCTCACAGCTCGCGCACTCCCCCCCTTCTGTCTTTATGTAAAAATTAGCGCAACAGCTATGGCAAAGAATTGCAAACGAATCGACAGGCAGTTCTTTGGTGACGCTCGCTAATTGAAGGGGTCAGGCACAGTGGAGAAGGGGAAATGCAGGGCGGGCGAAAAGCAAAACTTTGCAGAGGGAAGAGCAGAAATTCGAAAACATGAAAAACAAATGCTCACACAAATTGTGGAAAAACAATCCGAAAAAAACTCGAAAAAAATAAAAAAAAAAAACATAAGATGGGCCGTGGAAATATAATGCTTCGAAGAGGAACATTAAGAAAGGCGACGAAGGCTTACGGGAAATGTTCCTGTGACATAAAAATGAGGAGGCATGAAAAAATTGAAACAAAACTTCGTTCTTGTTTTTTTTTTTTTTTTTCTTTTGCTTTCTTTTTCTGCGAGTCTGTTTTGTTTTTTTTTAAAATGGATTTTTATGTCCTAAAATTTGCTGTGTAATCTGATACCCCAACACACATCCTTAACTGCGCGCAGGTGGAGAACCCCGCCCTCCTGCAGACGTGCACGCGGGGACGTTTTCTCGTGTGATGACCTACCCCCTCTTCCCGTTTCGCAGATCAGCTTAAACATATCCTCCGCCTATGTTAAGGCCCAATTCTATCTGCATTCACTTATTTTTTCCCTAGCTGATGCATAAAGGGGAAAGCTCAAACGGGAACAACACGAAACAACCAGATAGCATAACGTGGCAT